AAAATATTGAGAAAATCGCCTTTAAAGTTGTCCAAATGAAGTTCTTAGCAATGCATATTACTAATCAAAAATTAAGTTTTCATATATTTACAGTAGGAAATTTACAAAATATCTTCATGGAACATGATCTTTACTTAATATCCTAATGATTTTTGGCATAAAAGAAAAATCAATAATTTTGACCCATACAATGTATTTTTGGCTATTGCTACAAATACCCCAGCGACTTGAGACTGGTTTTGTGGTCCAGGGTCACAAATATATCGACATTTTCTTTCTTTTTTTTGGTGAAATGCAGGTTTTGTGTAGTGAAACCGTTTCTGGCATGGTCAGGTGGTCTTGTCTTATCTACCCAAGGCATTTGGTAAGCATTGGTATCGCTACTAATCAACATGCTGGGTTGATGGTCCTTTTCCCAGGGTGCTGTAAAGGTGGGTGCCTTCATTTTAGTGTCCGTTGACTGGCCTCCAATCGAGCAAAGTCAGCGGGGGTCAGTTTACCATGTGCAGGGCAAGCAAAACAGACAGATACTTCGTGTTCTGCCTCTCTCCTCCCCTCCGACTCAAATAGTCCCAGAACATGGGCAAAGGGCCAAAAACATCAATCGGTGAAGAAGAGTTTCAGAAAAATGTTTCCATGTGGCTACACAATAATTTTTAGAATCAGCGTATTCACTGCTGTATTTCAAAGACTTAAAGTAAATCAAGATTCTTGTTTGAGAATGAAAGGCTTCAGTCGGTGATTGTCATAGAGATGTCACTGTTTGAGTTGATGGGGGTTGGTGAGGCTTTGGGGTTGTGAAGCTTGGCCTAGTTTCATGTCTGATCACTACCGTATGCACCAGAGATCTCGCCCTCCACTGCAGGTAGTCAACGAGTGCAGCACAGCGCACCCCAAACATCTGTGTGATACAGCAGCCATGGAGGAGTTTCTTTGAAGAGCTCAGATGGCTTTTAGTGATGTGAAAAGAGAGAAGTAAATCAGAGATTAGAGAGTTCGGTGAGGAGGATGAATGCATGAAAAGGTTAGGGGTTCATACTGTGCAGTGCTGTAGAGCAAACAGAGATAAAAGGTGGGTTCTATGCTCAGATGACCTGGAAATGGAAAACTCTGGAGATGCACACGGCGAGAAGCTTCAGGTTCAAACCAACCGACTGCAGGTGCTCTGTTCCACAGAATGGTTTGGTTTCCCACTGATTGCATTTTGAGATATTTTTCATTATACACTACATACCGACCGAGAAATACATTCTGCCATTCTCATCACCATAATTAATCCAGCTATAGTTTTACTTCTGAGCTTTGTCATATTCTTATGATTGTCATTAGATTCTCATTACTGTACTACATTAATTATGTCCAGGTTGAATTTAAAATAATTTATGAATTAACATTAGAATAGAAAATTAACAGCACAAAAAGCTACTACAATGTATAAATACTTTACTATTGAAATAATAGAATTTTCTTTCACATTAAAGTGTATTATGGTAATGAACAATATATCAAACAAACAACAAATATACAAACAAATAGGTCAACATTTTTATTTTCATTTTTTTTGCATAACGGTAATGAGAATTGTGTAGGAATTTGCAAAAATAAATAAATAATCCCATTTCTGATATATTTGTTTTAATTTATTTTTTAAATTGTTTACATTTATTTTGACATAATTTCTTGTCTCTTTCTTTTGATTTTAGGGTGAAATTGGTTGACCCGGACACCTATTTTTATACAAATTTTTATTAGTATAACATTTTTATACTAATGTATTTTAGGGTTATTAAGATTTTGTAACATCATTGAAACATGATTTTTTTTTAAATTAAACCTTCACCTTTGGGGTCATTTGGAGTATGGGAAAGAAAATTGTGCTTAAATTACAAAAAATAATGTCACAAAATTAATTAATTATAAAAAAAATAGGCCAAATGAGTAATTATAAAATCATTTTGTAAAATGTATAGAATGTTTTTTCTTTTGATTTAAATGCTTATTTTTATGCTAATTTCAGTTTTGCATATCCAACATGTATCTTGCCAAATGTTTGAAAGGTGCAAATTTTTTTTTTTGTGGAAAACCATCTAAACTCCCCCAAACAAGTGCTTTTTGAACCATTGAAAAAGTGGTTCATCATTATCAATGCATACAGAAAACACACGAAAATAATACTTACGCTCTGTTAAACCAAATAAATACACGCTGTCATGAATAATTTGCATATACCAATTTAATGATAATTGCATGGTAATTTCATTGGATGCTTCAAATTGAGTAGTATAATATTATGCCAAGGAAATGTTACAATAGCAAAAACAATAGTCTTTATTAAGACTTTCTACATAGATAAATATTTTATACGCTCACACAAATGTATGAATGATTAGCAGAAACGTGTGAAACATATGCTAATTTTACTTCTACATCTGCCGTTAATTACAGACAGAGGGCGGAGGATGGCTGGAAGGAGGATTCAACAGAGTCTCTTAGATAATGAATCCTACCAAGCATGGAAACAAGATATTATACTAAACCATCATGGATTTTTTGTGTTAATCTGTCACATTTCACAGCCACTCTCTGAATTGCTCTCGCCGTTTTCCTGTTTGCTATGTTACGACTGCTTTGATGACAATTCCAGTGTCCATCAAAGTAATATCTCAATCAAGAAATTTACATATCTTTTTTTCTTGTTTGCCTGGACGTCTTTCCGAACAACAATGCTTCTTTCCTTCAAGGTGTAAATCTGTCACATTTCACAGCCACTCTCTGAATTGCCCTCGCCGTTTTCCTGTTTGCTATGTTACGACTGCTTTGATGACAATTCCAGTGTCCATCAAAGTAATATCTCAATCAAGAAATTTACATATCTTTTTTTCTTGTTTGCCTGGACGTCTTTCCGAACAACAATGCTTCTTTCCTTCAAGATTTTTTTCCTTTTGTCTGTTTTAACCCTCCTTTCTACATGACCCACTGCATGCTCTCCATGTCAGGCCCAGCTGTTACTACAAACTACTTGGAGATCTTACAAGCTCGCTAATTTCGCTCTTGAAATCCCACTGTTCACCGTGAACCACAATCTGACCTATAGCAGTAGGCTCATTTGACTTTGCTTGAAAAACTGGTTAAACTATATGACATATAGCCTATATATGTAAATAAATGTATGCATGATCAAACATTATAGTTATTATACGCGGCGCTCTCTCTACGCTAGTAAAGGTATGTGTAACCCAGCTGTATTCCTTTGGCTTACAGCTCCATTGTCCACCATATAGGACCCTTGGGGCTAATTATTACAATTTACTGTGCCTTTAGTTATTCAAGAGATATCCATGATATTATTTCCTAATTTTGCTTACTCCCTGCTGTGGAGATCTTAAACAGTTCAGTTTTCTGCTTTGATTTTGCTATTTTGTCCTCTTTTTCACTCAATAAAATGTGGTTTCTTCAGAAAAACATAAAATATAAACTTTCCATTTAATTATTGTTATTATTATTATTAATGAGCTTTTTTAAACCACACCCTTCTCAGCTGTTCAGTCTCTCTAACAATTAACTAAATAATTGGTTTTATGTATCCACTATTGGAATTTAAGCCCCTTCGTGACATTTTACATGATCTTCACCAATATTTAGACTCCTCTCCTTACTTTGGTTGACCTCATTTCCTCATTTTATTTTCTTTCTGGTTGTTCATTTCTGTAGGATTGGTGTGGTATGAAATCTACAATTGAGTGGAGCTTTGACTTCTAACTCTTCATCTGTTGTTTCCTGCCATCATCCATCTCTCTTCCTCTGGCCATGCTGCATGGCCTCTCATCCCATCCCCCCACTACACGCTCTGTTATGATCCCTGGATTCTGTGATCCCATGCTCCTCTCCCCCCTCTCACTAGACCAGCTCTATGAATCAGCCACAGGGAGAGACGGAAACAATTCTGTGGTTGTGGTGAGATTTATGACTGGAAGTACATGCTCAGTAGGGGAAAATATTTGGTGTAATTATCAATGTAGACTTCACTTTTGCTTTGGTTCTGCATACCAGCTTAGTACTTTAAACATAGCCTACATTTAAAAAATAAGTGCTTTCTTGTGAAATTACATTTTGCATGGGGTGGTTGTAGTGTAATGGTTAAAGGGGTCATATGATGCGATTTCAATTTTTCCTTTCTCTTTGGAGTGTTACAAGCTCTTGGGATTTATGCAACTTTGCCAAGTTAGTTGGTAGTGTAAATTTTACATATAGGCTATTTGTATGATAGCCACTGAATAATACTGCTCAAGAATGTTAAATGTAATATGTAATATATGATATGGTTATTTATGTAATACATTTGGACAAAAATGTAATTCATCACTGTTAACAGTCACGTGAGGCAAAAAAATTAAATATAAACTTTTAACTGGATACTGAAATGCAAAGTAATCAGAAGTAATCACTACTTCTGTTTGAAGGCTTCTTATTAGAACAATAAAGGCAGATGTCATGTAATGTTTACTACTTACCTTAGCAAAGTCTTACCTTAAGAACAAATGGTTTGACCAAATCAAGTACAGATTCAGTTACAAACTAACTAGTAGTCACTAAGCCCCCAATGTGAACTTAGTGTTTTTTCATTCAAACTGAAGGATATTAAAGTCTGTTTGAATGTTACCGTTGGCGAGTAGCCTAACCAAATGAAATAATTCTAACAGAAATGGGTTAAGTAAACAAATAAAAAAGTAATATTCCTAACGTTTATGCGTCCAACTGTGAATACTCTTTTACGAGCGTTTTTAGCCAAAGTAGCGATACAACGCGCGGGCGTAGACATTAACCAGACTAATAAAATGATGTCACGCAGGCTGCGCTCTAGCCCCTTCAGTCAGCCTCACTGAACACACAATGTCGTCATGAAGGGGGCGGGTCTAGAGTGACTATACGTGTGGCCATTGGACATTCCAACTGCCTGTCACTTTCTGTCGCCTTTCTATTGGCTACTAGCATGCGGGTTTATCTTTCCATCTCTTACTGCTCTTGTATAAATGCCGCTTACTTTTCTACCATCAACCTCCGCCGGATATTATAGTTCCTGTTTCCAATTATTTTCCCCTTAAACTACACCTATTAAATCTTGTCTGAATAATGATTAACAACTATTCTGCGCGTTCTGACCAATCCGTGTTTTTTTTTAATCGGTAGACCTTGTCGAAAAAACTCTTGACTCCCCTGGGCACATGAAACTGGACACCCGAGCGTTTGAGGCCCCTCTTTCCATGCGGAGGAATACATTGTTGCTGCTCACAGTGTGGATGGAGGTGGTCAAGATGTCTACTAGAAGAATGAATTCACCTCAATTGTAACAACATAAAGGAAGTCGTGGCGCGGGATTGTTTGGATACAGACCTGCAACATTGTATTTATGACGTTGGTGTTTTGTAGGAGGATGTCAAAGGAGGAATAACACACATTGTTGCGCCTATCAGCCTTAAATGCGCCGTGCTTCAAATTCTTTCAAGTTTTATGGTTTTTCCCTACGAGATTCAACCTTTCTTTTTACTGCTGGATGTAAAACAACTGATAAACAGAGGTAAAGCTTATTGCCTTTTTGTCGTATTTTACTGGGTTACTAAGTTGAAGTATTTTAGTCTCATATTTACATCATAGAAATCACATAATTGCATATTGAAGTTCCATTTAGCAAGTTTTAGGGATGTGTGCTTATGAAAGTGTGGGGATGCAGTTTTTTCTTGCTTAGTGGCTGTGGTGGGAAGTCCTGCCCAGTTTTGTGCTGGTGGTCTTTAACCCAGTTCTATCCTTACAGAAATGACTCCTTTGTCCTTTTATCAAAGTAAGGATTAGTTTTGTGGGGCGCTTATGAGTTTAAGTGACTAGTTAAGAGCGAGCTGTCAGTGCACATTTAAATTACAAATAACTAATGGCTGAAAGTTACTTTAATTGGTTAGACTTGTTAAAATGTACAATTTCCTACTGAACTTAAGCACCGGGTTGAAGTGTGTTGTATCCAGGTTTGCTTTTCATAAAAACCTTTGGATAATTCAGTTACTTAGTTGAATATTTTTTGGCAGGAAATACCTCGCCCCCCACCCCCACCCCCACTCGCCTTCATCAACTCGCGAGTCTCTCGAGGAAAAGTTGACATTTTGTAGCGGTACTTTTATTAACTTTTGCTTAATCCCCAGCCAAGCTTGTACATTTATCTCACAACACATGAATAGTTGAGATTTTCGGCTCTACGGCTGGTTAATATATTGATAATAATGCCGCCCTTATCAAAAGTACGTGCTCGCGATCAATGTGGCCTATCTGTTTTCGAAATGGTTAAGCTATCGGAATACAATAAGTTTACAACTGAGAATAAATATTGACATTGTTCATGTCTGGATGAAGCTTAGTCCAAGTTACACAAAGAAAGGGACGTGACTGAACTCTAGTTTAAACGTGTCTGCACATTCAGCAATTGAGATGGGTTTTAAAATAGACATATACATAGGCTATATATGTATATGTATTTTACGCATTTTTATTCATAACGTGGATTTTGTTCGGGTAGCCTACATTAAATTTGTGGTTAGTGGTAACACTGTTGCGCTCTCTCTTACAACTAACCAACCACCAATGGCTGCAGTGATACCGGACTAAAGATACTATTTACCTTTTAACTACGAAATACGTTTTAAAACTCGTGTTTGGCCTTGTTTTTAGTGTCCCCTTATTAATTTCTCTTTGTCGTGTATGTGTGTGTGTGTGTGTGTGTGTGTGTGTGTGAGAGAGAGAGAGATAGGAACCTTTACCGTTAGGGATGGAAATTGTAAGGAATTTAACGATTCTGCTCCAGTTCTTCTCATAATGATTTCTTGGCGATTTTAATGATTTATTAAATAATATCTGGAAAACATTTTTATTGCATTTACAGCCTTAGGTAGTTATTTTTTATTTTTTTTTTGGCAAATTATGCGACCATTTCAGATTTCAGCAGAACCGACATAACAAATAAATGTACATCTCTCTCATAGGTGTTTATTTACAGACTTTTAGAGCTGTCATGAATGCATCATGAAACTGGCTCTAATTTTAATGCAAATGGCAAACAAAACAAAAAGGTGGTAACCGGTTTCATTCATTATTTATATAGCCTAGAATATACCTAGACTACATGATGTGTAGGCCTTATCTTATTTGCACGTTGTCATACGAACAACCAGTCATTAATTATGTTTATTTAAATTATTGGTTTATTTCAAATCAGACTTAACAAAATAAATAACTAGGGGTTAAGTGAGTTAGAGTAATTCATTAACAGCTCCGACTGATTCATAAGTGTTTTCGATCCACTATACAGAACCGGTTCATAAGAATCATTCGTTCGGAAATCGAATTGCACTGGTAGTACTGTATTTTTTTAATCACTTAAAAGAATCGACTCCTAGAGTCACTCGTTTAGGAATCGGATTAGACTGGTCGCGCTGTATGTTTAATGCTCTAGATAAAATGAATAATAGGAAATGCTGTCAGATCACCGTGGTCTGCATGATCAAAAAGTGCTAAATGAATTGTACATCATAAATAATTCGTTTCCGTTTTTTAAAATATAAAAAAGAACCGGCTCTCGATTCCCAACCCTAATAGGCTACTATATGGCCTTCACCTCATTCGACAACCAGGGCTGTTTATACCAGTTACAATCGCTCCATGTCTCTCGTATCTGAGACGTTTGTCACATTTTACATGGAAATATGCTAGTATACTGAGTAAAATATATTTTTTACCTGTGTTTTGGCTTTGTTTTGGTTGGCAAAGGCTTGAGGGGGATTTGGGCCCTCTGTTACTATCTTTCTTGTCTTTTTACTAAGGGGCCACATTCTGTATGTTTTCATTTAGCTGTTTTTGTTTGGGAGTTGAAAAAGCAGTGTGAATAATATGTACTGTACTTGCAAGGTGTAAAAACACTTTTTTTTTAGCCATTGGCTTGTAATGGTGTTATAATCAGACTGCTAAAGAGAAACTAATGGTTAATAAGCAGGACTGCTAAAGCACACCACCTGTTTGCATCAAATAGCATACAGGACCCCTTAAGATGTTTTTGAGAAAAAAAAGTTTCTCATTTACCAATATTTGGCCATTTCATTGTATTTTAGCAAAATAGCAACTTTTAAAACATTTTACTGCAGTTGGTGGTTGTATAAAATTTTCCCGCCTTGTTTGATGGTCTCCTTTTATGCAAATCAACTGGCCAGATAATTATAAATCATACACAGAACAGAGATGTACAATAAGTTAAGAACATTGATTTGCATGTTCCATGTACTGATATCATGGTTTCATGGAAACTTATTGACTGGTGATTGCATTTAGTTTCATTGCTGTGCTGATGTTGCATAACACAACAATATGAATAATAAGATTGACTGATGTTATAGAAGGACTGGCTCTTTGAAAACAAAATGTTTGGCCTGTAATGCTTTTTTGGCTGTTTCATTGTAGCACAAGACTAAGTGTAGTGTGTAAAACATACAGGATGTCTTTGGCCAAATTAATTATCAGGCAAGGTTTAGATTTACGATTAAAATCTTGGACAAAGATAATAACTTGGCAGTGGTTGTTTGTGAAACCTCCTGAAGCGATTCATAGTTAGTTAATTAAAATTAGTCTCATTTTTCATTTGAGACATGGAAATGCTGGTAATATACTCTTTAAAGGGGTCATATGATGCGATTTCAATTATTCCTGTCTCTTTGGAGTGTTACAAGCTCTTGGTGCATAAAGAAGATCTGTGAAGTTGCAAAGACTAAAGTCTCAAATCCAAAGAGATATTCTTTATAAAAGTTAAGAGTCAGCCACACCTACCTAAAACGGCTCGTTCTAACACGCCCCCACATGTCTACGTCACTGTGTGG